TCCTGTAGAATACACTGTGTAGCCGCGCTGTAAATCATGCAAGCGGCGCCTGGGAACACCAATCAGAAGGTGGTGCCAGCTGCACCGCAACAATAAGGCCTTTCAGTCGGTGTGGTACCCCCGTGCCAATCCGCCGGCTCCCCTCTCTATCAGGGGAGGTGGGGGGTTCTGCGGCGCGCAGGATTAATCTGTGGCGGCGTTCAAGTGCTCCCACCCCGCAGTATCATGGCTAAAATTACGGTGTGTTGGTGCCAATCACCCGGTAGTGTTTTACATTAAGCTCCAGGTACATTGCAGAGTGATTGATCCCCTTATTGCATGGACCATCGCGCAGCTGCTCTGCACACATTTGTATATAAAGATAGAAGCTGCATCCAATACTGTTAGGGGAGCAAACAAGAAGAAAGATGAGAGTAACATGCATCCCCTTTTAGCTGAAATATTTCAAACATTCATCGCAGAGAGGGGATAACGTGCAGGGCTCCTTAAACAAATAATAACAAAAGAGCAGCCATTCCACGGCCAGCAGGAAATAGCCAGATGATATCGCATGTAAGGAATCAGCAAGCGTAAAATATCGAAATGCATGTACAGTAATGGGGGAAATTACCTATCTGGTTTGACCATGGTTCCTCTGGGTTTAGTACGGAGAGGCTTCACTCCAGACGGAGGACCCAGACAGCGCATCTGCAGCTCCACACAGGCATCGGCGGTGCAGATGCGGTCCGTCCGTCTGCCAGCTGTCTGCTCCGGGTTCATGTCCTGATACCCTGTTAAAGGGAGAAAATGTATTTTTTTAGAGAATACAAAAGCGGATCAACCAACAGCTAACTTGGTATATTTTTTCACATAACCACAGTCTTTTTTCTTTACAGTTTTTAGTTGCATCCTACCTCTTATGCGATGGAAATTTGACTACTTAGTCTAATCAGTTTCCACCCGGACCGAATTCACCGGCGCACCAGGAACTTCCGTCCAGCTCATTCCTTCTGCATCATCAAAGTTGACAGCAAAAGATAGAAAGTTTATAAGTGCGCTGTCTTTGACCAAAAGCAGCAGCTGACTCTGCCGATAGTTGACCTCCAGCGGTATGACGACCCTCACAATGATCGCTCGGGTGGCGGACGGACTCCCGCTCGCTGCGTCCATTCAGGAGGATGAGCAGGTAGGAGGGATGCTAGCTCCCTGTTAGCCTCTGTGTGAGGAAAGAGCTACACGCCAGGCTCCATTCACAAATCATACTGTTTAAGGACTGCTAGCTTATCCGCAACTGTAGTTCTCCAAATAACAAGAGTAAAGTCCTTATTTTAATTACTAGTGGTACATTTGCTATGAAAATAATTAACAAAGCAGGAGTTTTATTATAGAAAATATGATATTTGTATGTAAAGGTCAGTAACGATAACAACATACGTAGTTGTTATCGTACTCCGTTACGTACTCTGTGTGAATTATTATACTGGAATTTGTCGAAATAAAAGGAACTACGTTTAGCTAGATACAAATTTAAAAAGTGTATTGTTTTGCGTGCGGAAAAGTTGATACACATTTTTTTTTTAACGATTTTTCATCAATGATAGCTCTGTATACCAATATGCATGCATTTGAATTATGAATGTGTAATGCCCTGTATAACAGATGGAGGGCAGCAGTTCACCTCTCCTACTGGCTCCATAACATCTAAATGAAGAGTCATTATAGTTCTAAAATAGTGAAATAATACATAAATAAACGAATAACTAAAAACAAGTGGTGTTACAAGACAGGGTGGGCCAGGGCTAGTCAGTTAGCATGTGATTTCAGTAGATATGTCTGCAACATAAAACATGCACTACTTGAAAATCATGTTGACATCCTAAACTCTTCAAATTATGAGAACGTCAGTCGGTTTTTTTTACAGCAAAAATGTGCCCTTATTTTACACATTCGGCCTATAAATGATTAAATGTAAAAAACATAGAATATACTGGGATTATTCATTCCCCACTGCTGTGGATCTTGGGTCGATAACAACCATGGAAACATTGACACATCTCCGCCTCCGTTTCTTTTTCAAATCTATCTCTGTTATTAAAGGACCTGGTAGCGCAGAAAATAATCTGGTTATTTGGACGGTTTGTGTCATTTTAATGAATCTTGATAAAAGAGTAAATGCCATTCAGCTGACTATAACCTCCTTTTTCTTCATGTCTCTCAGTCAGGAAGAAACCTGCAGCACTACCAGAGCCAAGCCAAGCAGCTGTGCCGTAAACTGAACGCTCAGAGTCCGGACCGCTGTACGCTGGAGGCCGGGGACATGAACTTCCAGTAAGTTACCACAAGCAGGAAAAGTATGAATATCATACTTTTCCCTATATACTTGGAGCAGGAGCAAAACTTAATTCAGCATCTAAAAGAAAGGCACACCTAAATCAATCAATATCCATTTAAAGGTGGGGTAGGTCATTCACTTCAGAAACACTTTTTGTTATATTCCATGGAATGCTCTTAACATCCCGATAGCAATGAATATCTGAAGTGCTTTGACAATAAATCCATAAAAATGTATCTGTGGAAGCCGTGGCGCTGTAAAAAGCACAACCAATCATCTGGCCGGCTAAGATAACTGGATGGCCTACCTGCCTGTCAGCCTTCCATCTGTGCACAAACTTATCTCGTGCCCTCATTGGTCATGTGTGTTGGAGGAGGGGCTCTGTAAGGAAGTCTGAAGGAAGGGGCATATTTTTTTCCGGTTGCATACTTTCAAATTATAGCGCACTCGAACTGGTTTCTCCATTCTTACCTACCCTACCTTTAAGTTAACACTATATCAATATGTAGAATATTTTCACCTTTACTTTCCATTCAGACCTCATTTTACGACAAGGAACTGTCAATATTATATCGATCTATGCTCTCGCCAAAGCCACCAGACTCCATTGATAAAAACCCACATATTCTCGCAGAACAAAGGAGTTGCTGGTGTATCGCTGCCTCATATCAGCTAGTTTGTTTGGCGTTATTATGGGAGTTGGAGGATTCCAAACTGAACAAATTCACACAGAAACAGACTGAGTGGTGAAAATATTCTAAATAAAGTGCACATTAACATAATTATAGGGTCTAAAAATGAATTTGCTGCTGCCTCTTGTTTACAGCAGTATACTGCTTGAGTAATACACTGACTATGGATAAGTACCTCATATAACCCCACCTCAGAATATCCAAACTATTCCTTTAATTTGTATTCTTAAAGGGGTAAAATCCACTTTACTTCGATAATATTTCACAATTAGTTTGGTGACGTTTAGTTTTGATATTACCAGGCATTATTAAGATCCATTGATTTGGTGTTTTTTTGTTTCCAGCTACCTAATAGCAGAGGGTGTATGCTACCTGTTCCTCTGTGAGGCTTCCTTCCCCAAAAAGATGGCGTTTGCATACCTCGAAGAGCTCCACACAGAGTTCTACGACCAGTACGGGAAGAGAGTGACCACAGTAACCAGGCCGTACTCTTTCATCGAGTTTGGTAAGACTGTTTGTGATCTGCTACATTCAAGAAGTCTTTCACACAATCCTGACTTTGTCCTACATGCATTGTTTCAGACACGTACATCCAGAAAACAAAGAGGTCGTACGTAGACGGCCGGGCCAGGAGGAACTTCAGCAGCATCAACACAGAGCTACAGGACGTCCAGAGGATCATGGTGGCAAATATTGAGGAAGTTCTGCAAAGAGGAGAATGTCTTTCTGGTAAGTAGGTTACAGGAATGAAGAAAGATCAGTCCTAGCAAGAGCACAACACACAAGGAACCAAAAACCATCTGAATCCTAAATCCCTTACAAGTTTGCTGTTACTTTGCTTTTGTGAAAATTAAATATTAAACCTATAGTAATATATTATGCATTAACCAATCAGAGCAGACTACGCTCTGGTTTCAGACAGAGGGTGAAAAGAGGCGCTGCAGCACAGGCAGTATGAGAAACATGAAGAGCTTTTTGAACATTAAAGCATGGAGACATGTCCCAGGAGAGACACTACATACAAATAATGATCTTTAAAATGAGCAGAATATATCATCTTTAAAGTAAGTCTCTGGTTAATCTCTTTTCTACTCTTCTTCCCTCAGCTCTAGACACTAAAGCCAGCAACCTGACAAGCCTTTCAAAGAAGTACCGCAGCGACGCCAAATACCTCAACACCCGCTCCACGTACGCCAAGGTGGCCGCTGTGACCGTGTGCGTCATCACTCTCATCATCTATGTGCGCTTCTGGTGGCTCTGATGGACCCTCAAGAAAGGACTTTAAAATAAGGGAGAGGGAGTTTCCTTTGGGAAATGTAAAGGAGTACTCAAAGTATTCCTTTAAAAGTTGATGCTGTTACTTTACTCTTAAAAGACAGGGTGCCTTAAAGGAATCGTATACAGTCTATCCCTAGAAGGTAGATATTCTTTTGGTGTTTTCTCCAACTTTGACTCATGCCATGTATATGGTGTACACAGAGCCATTGGGTTTCTCTGTATGGGAGCAAATGCCTCATGGTGAGTTCATGTACCTCTGTTTACTGGAATATTAGGAGCAGGCTGTTTGTAAGTTAATTTATAAGCCGGTTGGGGGTTTTCTTCAGAGTTTGAGCATTATAGGTGAATCCATGTATGACAGGGTTTTGTGAAGTCCCAATACTGTGAGAAATGAATGTTTATTGTTCTGAACGTTTACATTGTAACAAAGTCTTAATGAAAATATTAAATATTTATCAAAGTTTCTATTTTACAGCTGGATTTATGAAAACGTGTTAATGAGCTGGATGGTACTTACAAACCAACATTTCCTATCTCACAAAGCAAGGCTGAAAGATGAATGGGAAATGTATCAGAACCGCAATGTGTACTACGATTTTTGTAAAATGCAAAATGTGTCATGGCCATTTGTATGAAGTATTTTAGTGCTGCAGAGATTTCTGGGCCTACAAATGCTATTCAACAGACTTCACATTCAAAAGACATTTTGGTACAATATGATCATTTTACTATATTTTTTATAAGAAATTAGAATGGAGCAAAAATGATCTTTTACTGACATTGTGACAATATAAAAAAAAAAAAGATGGATTGTTTTCCCATATGGTACGGGCTCTTCACATGCAGCTCATGTTCACACAACAGGAGGAAAACAGTCCGGGGGGGGCTCTGCTGGGAACATGAGGAAACAACTGAGACTGTGTGCTCTCATGGAGGAGCAGGAGATGAATCCAGAAACGTTGAATGGTTAAGGCTGGCACCACTAAAAGAGAGGTTTGGTGAACGATGTGTAATCTACTCCTGTCCTTGTTTAGGAGAACTTGTTTTCTTCCCACATTTTCAAGTTGGTAGGAGATTCAGAGGTGTCCATTTCCTTATTTGACAGTAAAGTCCTTTCCTCCGGGGTGATGAAAAGAGTTTATGCCAATAGATCAAAGTCGTCCCTCTGCAGAAGAAACACACATAACATCAGCATAAATGCTCTGCTTTTATGGCATTATCAATAACAATTTGCATGACTGGTTCATTGAGGTAAAGGTGATGGCTGATCCATAAATCTCACTCACCTCATCATTATAATTCAGGACATGCTGCTTGATCTTAGAGGAGTCCACCCAAGTGACAAAATCTTCCATATTTCTGAAAAAAAGTCAACGTGTAAATATTGCATCCATTGAGATGCTTTTCCACATTTATCTATATTTTCAGTAATGTAGGTTTTTGTGTAATGCCCTTTAGCACATAGAGTAGTTCAAAACCAATCATGGCAGAACCAAATGTTGTAAACTAACCTTGTGACGAGAAATGCCGGGTCTGTGATAATCTCCGGGCCAACTCGCACATCGGAGACTGGGTCAAGGTCAATACTGCAAACATATTTATTCCCATGGGCATAGACCAAACTAACTTATCTGTGGAAGGACATTCTAGACACAACAATGCTGTAGTGAAGGATACGTCCTTGTTGGATGAAGGTGATGGCGGTCTTCAGGTTCTGAGCCATACGGAGGTTCAGCATGATGCTGGGCAGCCTCCTCCTGCAGGAGTCACACGTGGATTTAATGAGAGAAAACAGACGAGTGATAATCATGGTCTCTACTGAGGAGTCTGTGATGATGTATTTGTGTAGGTTGTGTCGTGGATATTTTAAACTCGTCAATACTGTAAAGATGTACAATGAGAGTAATCAATAATAAACTGGTGAAAGCAAACGGCGTTGTCTTGTTGGTTATTTATTTGAAGCTTCGAAGGCACAGGTCTCACAGAGTACAGAGTAGTCACAGAATAGCAACGCTTATAGATAGGGCGGGTAGACAGAGTTTTGTGTAGCATGGCGGAACGCCTCAGAAATGTGCTTTCACACGGATTCTCATATCGCTATTAGACACCTGTGTCCTTGAGCTGCAGAAAGTATAACAGTTAGCAAAATATGGAAGTTCAAACTTAGTGTGAAGAGGAGTAGTTTCAACATAGTCTGCCAAATCAGCTCTGTGGCCTTGAAGCGCTTGAGAATAATAATCCTCATTAGAGTATGCAGAGAAAACAGCACATATCAAGAAATGGTACAGTAGTGTTAGACAATGCTTTTAGAAGCATTTGGTTTTAGCATATAAGGTAACATAAGAAATTGCCACTACAGTTGACAAGTTAGCATTGCAAGCGTTCCCTTGATTATAAAGCAATGGGATTTTCCCACTGGATTTCCAAATATGCAGAAAATAAGATCCATGGCCAACACACGTTTGTGGTACATTCAGGTTTGTTCAGCAGGTTGATCTTCACATTTTAACACCACTTTTATGAGATTAAAGTCATTACAAACCAAAAGTAAAAGCTTACGTTGGGCTGTAAACAAACTTCATCATGGTCGCATGGCCAATTTGCAATCGAGTAGTCTCATTCAGTCTCTTGTTAGCAACTGGCATTTTAATGACACGTAGAAGCTTTGGATATTCATCAGTGCGGTATTTACTGACACATTTTATGTCCTTACCTTATTTCTGGAATCTTACCAACAATACGTTCCAAAATTCATTGATTTTAAGACGAGGCGGTACAGAAGTGCTAAAATGCTAACTCATTTCGAGGACTTATTCCTGCACTCTATTAAAGTACAACATGTGTGTGGGGTGGTTTACCTGCAGAATGAAGAAGCTGTGACCTTCTCCGTCAGGGACAGATTCTGTTTGGTGGGCGTCAGACCGATACTGTACCTAATGTGAAGAAACAATCAAATCATCAGTGAGATATTGTACTTTCAAAAAGGATAAACCATGACTGTCATAAATAAGTCAAACTAGGAGCCTGTATGATGTACAACTTAAAGCAGATGTATAGTTTCACACACACATGCGTACTACAATGTGTGTACGCATTTCACTTGTGTTTTCATGTTGGTCACTTGGTCGTTGCTATGTTGATTATAGCGAAAGGAAAAAGTGACCTTGTAGGTTGCCATCGTGATCTACATAGTTGAAAGTGAGCCACCTTGATCACGCAGGAAAACACAAGGTAAGCTCAAAGGGAGAAGAAGACCTCCCCTCTGTTTTGTGAAGCAAGCCCCGAGTGTTGACTTAAAGGTATAAAATGGATGATTCGGTCAGGGTAAACGATATCACAAAGACACTCAATAATAACTCACAGTTTCTCCAGCAGATGGTGTGTGCTCTGAGCTCTGAAGCCATCCTTCTCATCCAGGTCTCGGATTTTCTGGACGAGTTCTCTGATGTGACGACTCAGCTTATTGTACCTGAGACACAGGAGGAAAACACACTCTTAGACAATATAAACAACTGATAGAATTGTTTTGTTTTTTCATTAAAAAAAACAAAACTAATTGGTTACAGAGAATACAGCACAAAAATGAAGATGAATAATAACCTAAAAAGTGAAGAAATAATGTGTATTATAATGTGTAGTATAATTAACAAAATAACGACAGTAAATAAGTTATGGTTAACAGAAACAAATACATCACTAATTATAACTTATATTCAATACAAATTACAATGTTTTGGGTTGTATATGTCACCCATTTAGTTTGCCTTGTGTGTACTGCATCTCTCCAGCAATATGCCGTTAAATTGTCTTTGTACTTAAAATATCAGATATAATGTGTATCTTTGCAGTGGTCCGAGTTTGTTGTGCTACGGTTTTTTGCACATTAGTTCCCAATCCTTTGGAGGTATAATGCAGGAAGGTGTATTTTCCTTTAATGGTTTACATTGACAACACTTTATCAGGATGTTTAAGTCATATATATGGAGTCATACAATTTAAGCATACATTTGATCAATGGGTTACTGGGTTTTCTATGTGTATGATATTTAACTGTTGGTTGTTCCCCTTTAACAAAGTAGAATATGTCATGTCTTGGACAAATATCGCGATCTGTTTAAATCAAATGCAAGATTTAAAGGTTTTATTATAATGATATTATATTTAATGAAATTGACTCAAAGTATGTCTGTATAGACAATACACTTAAATATAGAAGATAAAACACTACAAAATATTGACGTATGTTGTACATCAATAAAAGAGCTAGTCAGGAGTGTGCCAAACATGTCTGTGGGATGCATAACGTTTCATTTCCTAATGAACCTATGGATAGTGATGTTACGTATTGCGCCGAGGCTTCGGAGCGTGTGTCGAGTAATCCCTGAAGCTTTGTGTGAAGCATGTATCGAGGCTTGTATCGTTTTGGGCCAGTGACGTCATCGATGACAAACGAAGCCTCTCTGCCTGTCGATACCACGTGACTGCTTCAGAAAGTGCTTTAGATCGGTTGAACCCTATAGTTGAACCACAACGCTCATAATACCCATGGATGTATAAAAAGAACCATATTACTCCTCCTGTACCCGGGCCCGGTGACATGATGGAATTAAGAGAGCTCAGACCCTCACTTATATAGAGGTCGGAACATGTCATAAGTATAAATAAATAAAAGCATAAATAAATGTACGAATAAAAACATGAATAAATAAATACAAAATAGTGTCTAGTTTATTCATATAGATTCAGCGTTTGTGCTGTGGCTCAGCTGGAAAGCGGTTGACTTACAACCGCAGGGTCCCTGGTTCAACGACTGGTCAATACGTATTTTTGTTTGTTTATAAAAGCTACAGCTAAATGTGATAATGTAGAATGTATTCTTTGATATGCTTTAGCCTTTCTCCGGCTACAACATGGTTAAGTTTACGAATAGTATTAAGGAATACAAATCCCTCTTTGCAATGTTTACCAGCCTCCTTAGGCTTTTCAATGACAATCATTCAACTGGAATATAAAACAATATTGTTAAAATGAAAATATGATTTTATGTTCGTTGTTATTCTAAGGCTTTACTCATTGGGAACTCGGTATGAGATAGAGCACACTGTTGAGATGTCCAATCTGCCTGTTTTACACACTTTGACCAACAGGGGGGTTTGTGTTCAAATGAAGCCCATGATGAGAGATGGGTCTGGCTGCAGACCGCAGCAAGGAGGCGGATCGTATAGGGGCGTTTCCTAACTTTTTTTATCCAATAGAATGACACTCAGCAGAAATACATACTGTAGGTGGCAGTAATGCAATTTAAGGGATTCCAGCTGCTTTTATAAATCCTCGCAGAATAAGTCATTCGTTCTTTCACGATGGCCGAACAACAAGTTGAAACAGCGGTAATAGTATTTTCCAGAGATGCATGTTTATATTTATTGTAATGTCATTTTTCTTAACACACAATTGTCTCGTTATCAAAGTACAACATCGACTGTCCAACCTCGTTAAGCGTTAATAAAGTAAATAATAGTTGTATGTGGTAAAAATGTTTGTGGTATTAAATGCTAACTTAGCATGATGCTATAAACACGTTGGCCTATAGTCCCGTTTGCAACCAGGCCTATTCTACTGTTGTAATAACATTAAGCTTTGATAGGTCAATAGATTATCAGGCTCGGTAACAATACTGATTTGTGTTACCAAAGCTGATCATCTAATTGGCCTAAGGTTAGCGTATATGCTGTGATGCTAACCAGCACTTAGCATGATGCTAGTGTACTGTTGTATTATCTTGGAAATATAAGTAGGCCTGCCCTACATACTGTAACTTAATCAAATAATATGGTATGGATTCGGATAGACAACATGGCTAGCTTGGTTGGTTGAATTGAGTAATAAGATGTGCGGTACTGATTAAGGTTGTAACTGTAACAGTTCGTAACTACTAGTTGTAATGAACCAGATGAGAGACGGACGCATCCTTTCAGTAAATGTCGGCTGCTAATCAATATGTAAAAATAACACTTCGGATGTGTCTTCTATAATTATGTAACATTAGTTATGGCATCATCAGAAAAGATGAGCTGGCAGGATTCTGCAGCATTGACTGTTTCTATGATGCTGGAGGCCCCTTCCAAGAATAAAATGTTTGTTTAATAAAGACTTTCCTCTTTGTATGTACTGTATATATTTTATTTTTTTTTATTTTACCACCAGACACAACATGAACAAATGAATGATACACATCAGAACAGTAACTTAAACTTCAGTATTTTAGGTGTACAGAAACCTCTACTCATGTTGTTAAATGATATACAGCAATATCTTCCATAAAACATAGTTAATTGATTTGAATAATTACTACCACTGCACAAACAGTGAAAAATGATATGCCTACAATTTGTCTTCTCTGTGGGTTGTATACTCTTCATTCTTTATGCAAATTAATTATAATTATTATTTTTCAAAGTTCGTTTATGATTCATTCAAAGCATTAAAATAAATGAGAAACAGAGAGCGTCATATACCTTTAAGAAATACGTGGGGGCGGGGTTCATAACCCTTTAGGAAACGCCCCTATACGATCCGCCCCTATACGATCCGCCTCCTTGCTGCGGTCTGCAGCCAGACTCTATTGCATGATGAAGCCTCATGAGATGAACCCTTTTGCGAACCAATTGGCTGGAAAGCTTCATAGCTTCATAAGGCTTCATCTCGCCATCACTACCTATGGATAACTGCTGTGTTAAAGACTCTGTTATTAAGCCAAGTTACGATTCATATAATTATTAATATTTAAGAACAACTGACACTGGCTTCATCAGCTTTGATAAGCTTTAAAGTTTGATGTAGTGCAGCTGAGGATGTCACTGTTAGCTATAGCTCAGTTTCAAGCTAACCATTTCGGAAGTCAACCTTAGCCTCGGATACACTCGTTTTATTTCAACTTAAAATATAAATGTTTAACCTGTTTTCATCTTAGCCTGGAATAATTAAAAGAGTCTTTAACAGTCGGTGTTTCTTACTTGGTGTAGTCCTCTCTCTTCTCGATGCGGTACTTCCGCAGCACTTTGACCTCGTGCAGGTTGTTGTCCACCTCCCAGTTGATGAAGTCCACCTTCTTCAGCAACTTCTGCTCATGGTGCTTTAATTTACGAACCATTTTCACTCCTTTCGCTGACTTATAACTATGTATTTACAAGACAGGCTGCTTCCCATGCAGGATGGGATGAAGAGAAAACACCGGAAACACGTGTTCTTCTTCTTCGGTTATAATTTACGGTGGACCGTCTGGTCAGAGTGGTCCACAGCGCCCTCTACCCTGGCACCACGGTAAACATTTTCAAATCTCAACAAACAGTAACTCTTTATTGAGCCTTAAAGGGCCCATTGCATGCTTTTCCGGTTATTACCCGTCTCCTTGTGTGTTATGAAGGTGTCCATGCATGTAAACAGTCTGCAAAGTCAAAACCCCTCAAAGTACACCCTGTAGGGCATGGGTCGGCAACAGGCGGCCCGCGGGCCATTGTTGGCCCGCCAGCAATAATATTTGGCCCGTAATTTTGAGAATCAAAAATAAAATATTATTTTGATATTTTTATTTATTTTTTACAACATGTTTGTTTGTTGCCTTTATTTAACCAGGTGAAAGCCCCTTGAGATCAAAAGATCTCTTTTTCAAGGGTGACCTGCAGGACATTATACACATGTAACATTAAAAACAACAGAACAACAATAAGGATGACATACAACATAATGTACAGGGTACAGTTTACAAACTCTATTTACAGAGACAGGTACCATGAGTATCAAACAGCATGTCACCCAGCTGAGTTTTAAAATGATGCAGGGGAACCAAAGTGCTCAGTTTTAAACATGTTTGCAGACTGTTCCAATTTAGTGGAGCTGCACAACTAAAAGCTTTCTTCCCTAAGACAGTCCTAGCACTTGGCACATTGAATAAAACAACATCATGAGATCTCAGGCAATATGTACTTTCAATTCGTCGAGAGATCAGAGAGCAGATATAAAAAGGTAGTTTACCCAACATGGCTTTGTAAATTAACATGTACCAATGACTGAGCCTCTGTACAGTTAGTGAAGGCAGACCTGCCTTGGCATATAGGGTACAGTGATGAGTACGTGCTTTACAGTTAGTAACAAATCTCAGGGCACTGTGATAGGCGGCATCTAACTTTTCCAGGCAATGGGCAGGTGCATTCATATAGATCAAATCACCATAGTCTAGCACAGGTAAAAAGGTCACAGTGACTAGCCTTTTCCTGGCTTCAAAAGAGAAACAGGACTTGTTTCTGAAAAAGAAACCTAGTCTAACCCTCAGCTTTTTAAGCAGGTTATTGACATGAAGTTTAAAAGTAAGACAATCATCAAGCCAGATACCTAGGTATTTATAACTGGTAACCACTTCAAGTACTTGTCCTTGCATAGTAACAATATCCAAAACAGGCTCTGGTGTCTTTTTAGCTTTTGAAAATAGCATAGGACCGACAGTCGCACATCAGGGTTTCCGTTAGCCGCCGATCGATCGGCCGCTGGTCATTATCGGCCGATATTCACTCTTAATAGTTTGATCGGTGCTCTCTATAAAGGCCGATCAGGAGAGCTGGATCTGATCGATATGGTCATAAACGCGAGTGAAGTGTAGCCGGACCCGAGAGAGAGATCAGATCAGCTGCTGAGTCTGATGGAGACACGCAGCTCTGCATGATCACCACTGTTTAGCGAGCTGCATGAGAAACTGACGGGCTGTCAGGAGAGAGAGGGAGGGAGAGGGGAAAAGAGAGCATCCGTTTCTCCCGTGTTATTATTCAAAGTTAATGTAAACTTTTGAATAATGTACTTCATCTACTACAAGTAGTTTGTTTGAATGTAATAATTATGTTGTTTGTTGTTTGTGGAATCATTTATTGAAAAATGAATCTGAACTTTTCAATCTGTAACGATTATAAACTGAAGCAATATAACAATGAGCCCCATTAACTGAGTTTTAAACATCAGCATATCCGGTCCTAGTCCTGTGATTACCTGCTAACAGAAACTCTGCTACACCATTCTTACTATTATTATTGAAACATGACCGGTAAGTTTTAAATTTGTCCGGTAAAATCAATTCTGTCCCGACATATCCGCTTACATTCATAATGTCAGCGGAGGGAGGGGAAGCGGCGCTGTGGAAGAGCAGAGTGGAGGGAGAGCTGTCATCTTCCCTTTACAAGCTTCAAACATGTATTTATCGTGTGATTTTGGAAATAAAAATGTCATATTCTGAAAGCCAAGACTTTGTTTATTTAAAATCAAACAAAACACCCAATCCCCGAAAAACTATTTTTTTACGCAAATCCACGTTTATTTTGAAATGAGCCGTTGCGACTTCCGATTGATTTCGATAGAGCGGGTCACATATGGCAAATGTGTGGTTGGGGGGAACCAGGTCAATTCAAGTACTTATTTAACTATTAAATACATTGAGTTTGAGTAAAATACTTGGTGACTGATTAATTTAGGCTATAATATATGAAATTGCAAAGCAAAACTGCTGTAATTGATTTATTTTGTCCTTTGGTATTTTTTAAAGGTTTTCAACCTGAAATAATCCTAATGTGTCCTTGAAAAGTTGAAATAAAGAAAAGGAAAAAGGATTCCAGTTGCCTCTCAAATGTGGGCAAACACTCAAATAAATGCCAAAAACCCAGAGAACTTGACAATACTGAATCAGAATAAAAGTATGTTAAATAACACTGCTAGTTAATAACTCTACTTTACTCAGTGGAGGCTCGTCCATTGAGGAAAGGGAGGACCATCCTCCCTACAATTTCAGAGAAAAATAAACTTTGAAGAGAACAATAAATACACCTCAATTTAAAAGATAAGTCTATTAAAATACAGATAATAGCCCTGGCTTTGGGACTGAAATGGGGCTAGAGAGGACGAGCCTCCCTTTGGGCGGGTCTAGCCAGACTCAGGCTCTGGATTGGGCGCCTATATCATCAGTGAACCAATCAGCGGATCTGACTGTGCATCAGAGTGTTGATGGGGAGGCTTATCAGCGATATCAGAGTTTTTTCTGAACCGGGGAACAGGGGCGCTGCGCCCTATTACCAAAATCAATTCCTTGAATTAGGCTTTGATTATGTTCTGGCCCGCCATCTTGCGGCTCAGCAAAAAATTGGCCCACGGCCAAACTTACTTGCCTACCCCTGCTGTAGGGAGTAAAACTCTAACACAGAAAAGACCTCCCCCAAAAGCCTCGTTGGAGAGTTCTCAGTTTCCATTGTTTACTTCCTGCCCCGCGTGACGTAGCTGCACCGCGTGACGTCACTTCCTCTGCCAGCCGACCATATTAAGTGTCGTAAAACCTGCTTCTTTTCAAAGCTCTATCCAGTCATGTCGCGGAGGGTCTGTTGCCTGTCTTGTGTGGAGAAATCCACAATGTTTGCAGTACCGAAGGCAGAACCACGACGAAGTCAGTGGTTGACATTCCTTTTTAACACTGTTCCAGCTGATTTACCAGCCGGTACTGTTGTGTGTGCGCGGCATTTCACGGACCAAAGCTTTAAAAACTTAACAATGTTTAGCTTCGGACTTGCAAAGCTGATATTGGAGGACGATGCTGTTCCTACTTTGTTTGGACCAGCAGTGCCCCGCTGGACTTGTCTGTAGTTTAGCCTTACTTTACTGTGACATCAGTATTAGCCTTACTTTACTACTGTGCCATCAGTATCAGCCATGGAAGATAGTTTGTTTGTTTCATTCTAAGCTATCCAGCAAGGTTATTTTCATTTATGTTGTTTTTTTTCTGCACAGTGTAGAGTCTTGTTGTGATGAGAGGGATGGAGGTATTTAATAAAAACCTTGCTCGCTGGAGTATAGCTACAGAAGTCCTGTCACAAGTTAATCGGAGAGGATCACAGCTGGCCACGGATCTCGATGCTGCATTCGGGCTGTGAGTAAACAACTTGTGTCTTACTTTTAGACTGTCTGGAGGTATGGACAGCTATCAAAGCTACTAAACATCACATTAACAACGATGTACAAATGAAAGTCGGAGACAAATACATATTTGAAATGATTTATTCACGTTTGCAATGTTTTGAACAGACATCCCCAGTCACCTCATTGTCATTTTATAGTCCTCGTTGTACGCGTCCGGGTATCGACATCGCAACCACAACCTCACAGACTGGTACTGAATGTACATCAAAGTGTTCCTATGGAGCCAAATATACCAAAATATCAATGTAAACAACAGAAGAAGCGATCGAAATGTGTATTTCCTGGTTATTCGACAATGGCTCCTCAAAGTACACGCCCCATTTCTACCGTTAACGTCACAAGTTCCCCGGTGTAACCAGTTAAACGGCAACACCAGCGCCCTAACCACACCTCGCTGCCACAATAGTAATTTGTTTTGGGCATAGCATTTTCGAGCCTGAAACCTGAAAAACAGGCTCAGGGCGTAAGAGGTTGGTTACCATATAGTTTGCTCAACAGATGCCAGCAAATACCAGCAGTTTGACACACCTACTGAGGGCTGATTCAGTTTTTCATTAGATGTACCTGTCAAACTTTAGCTTGCAGTGAAACAAACGTCACAGATGCTGAAGTGACTACAGCCAAGGAATGGCAAGGTTTTTCATTCACCTGACTTTGAGGACCCTCTCTCTCATCCTCATAGGTAGGGTGAGTTGCCCTAATGTGGGACACGCCCTAATGTGGCACACCTAAGCTCAAATGGGTGTAGGTCTTCCGCAAACAAATGAGAGTCAGTAGGCTTGTTTGAGACGCGTTGCGGCTCGCCTCGAAAGTAGACGAGAATAGCCGATCGCAGCCGGGGGAGGTCTCAAAAAGCTCGCCTGAAGTCGGACAGCTCGGGTTAGTTCCGATAATCCAAAAATCAGCTCCTCAATTCTAACCCTATCTCCTATTCCTTGACCTCTGAGTGAAACGTCACAGGGTTAAGTGATAGTGGATAGGATAATTCAAAAGGATTTAGGAGAAGAGACTGCGGTACTTTAGAGAATCCGAATGCACTTTCACTATCCGACGTGTTTATGATGCGCCAGCAGACGTCATGAATGTGCGTCTGCTGCTGTGGGGGAACTATGGAAACTACAGTTTTCTATACAGCGGACTACAACATGGATGTGTAATAAGAACGACGGACTCATCTAGAGACTCTGCACCGTGCTCTGATGCTGTTGCTTTATGCTTTATGAACGTGGACAACAGAGAAACATATTCTTCATGACCAAAGTTGGAATTGAAAT